ATGGCGGGGTGTGTGTGTGTGCGTGTGTGTGTGTGTGCGGCTGTCCCGCGGCCCGCGTGTCTGGCCCTGCGCCCCCCTGCCTCCTCGCCGGGGCCGTCAGGCCCTTGCCTGCTCGTGTAGAATGTTGTCAAAGCAAATAAAATCGGAACTCGCTCCCTCCCCGGTTACTGAATTGACGACAAGTAAAGGGAAAACGATCTGAAGTAGTTGATAAATCTTACGCAGGTAGTGGAAGAGTGTTGTAGTTCGCGCTTTTTTTGTTATGGCCACGGTATTGCAACAGTAAGAAAACACAAAGTTTTTCCATTCAAGTTAACTTTACACATTTTTTTTTTCTTTCTTTTATGACATGTAAGAGCGTTGATACTTGGCATTAACGATTCCCTACTTTCTATATAGTACTTAGAAAAGCAGGTGATGCTGGAGTGACTTCTCCCTAGCAGGAGTATTTTATCTGAAAATTGTTTTAAAAATAGCTAAATTGAGCTAGATAACAAGGAAAATATAAAGTTGTTACAGACCTAAGAGCTGATGGTACTCTGGTTTGGTGAGAAGGATGTCCTGCTAAAGGCAGGTGCTCACTTTGTTCTGCTTGTAGCATTTAGACCTGATTGTGGATCGAGGAACGGTGTGTTTATTTTTTGTGACAGAAGGAGGCAAACTAAGTCATACAAAATTTTAAAGAGTGTATTGTATTAATTGCTTGTAACTTTGGTGGGTTTAGTTGCAGGAAATATTTGGTATACAAATGCATCTGAAGGGAATACAGTCACCATCATGCAGTACTTTGTGGCAAAACTTTAAAATGGAATTGCAAACTTGACTTGGCATAAATGGTGTGATACTAAACCAGCGTGTTTAGCTGGCTTAATAAATATTCATATGCAAGTTTACTTTTGTAGTGCTGATACTTGAAGCAGTTTTAGAGCTTGTTTTTGAGGTTGGTTTTGCTTTTGGTTTTAAATACTACCGGAAAGACATCAGGAAATTTATGAAAACGCCTGCTTCACTTCTACTGCTGCAACTTCTACAAAAGAAAAATAAGCTTTGAACAAACAAAACTCTTTTAATCAAACTGAACTTTTAATCTCTATGACTGTCAATTAACAATGGTTTTATTTTTCTTTTTCATGATTCAGTTGTTATACAAGACGACGACTCCGGAGAGGAGTATGAAGTGGTTGGACGTTTTCCATTAGTTGGCCCTTGGTGGAGAGTTAATGTTAAAGCTAAAAAAACAGGGTTGAAGTACTTTGTGCAAGGATATCCATCATATTTTCTGCGGACTGATATAGAAGAAAACAACCGTCAAGTCTTTTCACTCTTTCTTAAGGAATGTGATGTTCCTGAGGATTTTAAAGACAAGTTTTTTACTTGGCTTCCTAAAGAGTCTATGCTGAGTTTTAGAAATCTTGAAGAAAAACTAAAACAGTTCCAAGTTTCATACATAAAGACAGGGAAGAAACAAAGAGGCACTCGGGCTTATGACATCATCTCCTATGTTTCAAAATCATGTAGGTATATCCTGTGCTATTTTGATTGTTTTATAAGCTAATGAGTTCTGTCCAGATACTATGTTCAGGCTAACATGTCCTCATACGAAGTGTGCATTCAAATGAATTTTGAACATGCAAAAATTACTCTTTTTAAAAAAATTTGAGGACAGTGGGACAGCTGACCAGTTAAAGATAGGCATACAGTTAGAAACACATAAGGACTTCCCTGAATTCTGTAGCCTTACTAACTAGAATTCCAGTTCCAATTGCATACCTAAGGTATTCCAACCCCTAATGGGCATTCAGTCTGTGGGACCAGACTATAGGTGGTCTGAAGCAAAACTCTGAAGTACAGAAAGTCAAGTCATCTGAGGCATGTCTTCAGGACTAGTTCCCTTGTTTGCTCTGATGATCTGATTATACCATGTTCCTGATGTGGACATAGGCAGTCCTGGGTTGGTGCTGTACAGAGCCACTTAGGGGTCAGTGCTGTGGGACTCAGTACTTTGAATTTGAGGAGGTCTTTAAAATTCACCTGCAGCTGTGCATAAATCTATATGGACAGGTTGGGTCTATCTACTGTTGCATGCAAAAGAAGTCTTCAAGTTTACTGGACAATGTCAGGTCAAAAGATGGAGGTGACAATTTCAGAGGTTAATTTGTGTCTTAACAGTAGAGTTCAGAGACTCTGCTAGACTTGAGCTGACTTTACTCCAAATTACGTGTAAAGAGAGGAAAATTTTCAGTTCTATGGACTTTCACACTTTTTGTTCTGTTTTTATAATGGTAGAAAAGTTCTTAACCCCTGTTTATGGACTTTAAAACTTTTTGTGACCACGGAAGGATGGGAATTGATAGTGGTAGAAACTTGGTTCTAGTTCGCTGTGTGAATTTTAATGAGATATATGGATCATTTTTGATTGAGGCTTGTCCAGTGTGTTCATGAATCTTCAGGAGTGAAGATTGTACAGTGTGCCTAGATATCCTGTTCACTGGTGTAGTTGGCGGATTTTTCCTAATATCTAACTTAAATTACTTTGCAACAAATTTAAGTTTTCTTCTTTCTCTATCATTGGGCAATAGAAACAACCACCCACCCCTGTGTATGTCATATTGCTGCTATTGTAATTTTTTCTGGTTGTCATTAATTATTATGGGCTTGAGCAATTTGTTTTTCAAGCCGTCATGATATTTTTGCTTGGAGATAGTGTATGGTGATTCTCCACGTGTAAATTAAGTACCTGCTTTAAAGGGAAAAGGTTTTATCTTTGCCTTTCTGTAGGTAAGACAGGGATCAGAAGAGGTTTAATCTTTGCCCTTCTGTAGGTTAAGGCATCAGAAAAAGCACTTCACTGAGAAAAATTGGTGTTTTAAATACGGAATTATGAAGTTTCCTTAACACTTAATTAAAAATTGTTTGTTTTTTCTTGCCAAGAGATAAAATGTCTAAAAGTCTCACTTTCTTCTGAAATCAGTTTTTTAAAGCAAGGTGTAGAGCAAATCCATTTCATTATCCCCCTTTTGCAGATTGCAACACCAATACAACCAGGGAAAGTGATGGCTTAAGTTTGGGGTCATTGAAAAAGCCTGTGGAGAGCACTGTTTTCCTAAGCTCCTCTGCTGATCTTATACTACAATTTTAGAAGCCTCTTTTCTTATTTGAGATTTCAGATGTTCTTCTGTACATCTCTATGAAAATTAGCTTTAGATAAAAGGCAGGTGTGGTGAGGTCTGAACTGACTTTCTACAAAATGCTATTGAGTATGCAGTTTAAACCAAGTGTATGATAGATATTTTCCAAATGAGTACATTTGGGTGCAGTTTTTAGGTCATCTGTTTACATTATTTTTCCCAGAGCACTTCAGAGAAAATAGACTTTAAAAGAATTTGGAAAGGACCACAAAGAATCAGAAACTGAAAGAAATTTGGGATGGTTTAGATGCAGGAGAGGCAGAAACAAAAGCCAGAGTCAGTTTAAATTGCCTTTACAAATATCTTTGTATGTTGCTTAAAACTTTTTTGGTTTATGGTGCATACAGTTGCAGGAAAGGCGGTATGGGTAGCTCTGACTTTTCCAATGTTATTGGAGTGCTTGCCGATTCTTCTGCCACGCCATTTTTGCAGTCTGTTGGATATGGCGTGTGGGCAAAGAAAGACTGAAGAAAACAATGGTATGGATGGTGAGAAAATATATTTTCAAGACAAGATACTAACAAAATTGGATGAGATATTAAAGAATGAGCCATGGAAACTTGGATTCAGCAGGGTAAGTAATGTTAAGCAGTGTAAATAATGTGGTGTTTGTTACATTTGAGCTTTGTTAGAATATAATGCCGTTTCAGTTACACTCAGTTTATTAACTGGGCATTTGTAGGAGGTAGGTTTAGTTCATTTGGAAATGGATGATGTACTAGGCTCAGTTTCAGCAAAGGGTTTTTTTCCTAGTTCTACAATAAATTAATCTCAAAAGATTTTAAAAGTTGTTTTATTACAACCATTTGTTTATTCTTTTCTACAAGTAACAGAAAATTGAATACTCGAGGTAATTGGAACAAAATGCAAAAGCTAATTTAAAATCCTCAGTTGTCCAGTTTTATACGAGCAAATGTTCTGAATACATAGAACAGTGTGTCTGCTTTCATAGTAAGGTAAATAAATTAATCTGTAAGAGGTCATCTGGTCTAGCGGTTCTCCTTTTTTGTAACAGGATTTGCAGTTGCTGTTAACCTTCCCGTTTTCCTTTGCTACACTTGCTGTGCAACTTTGCTGCTTCTGCATCTCACCTTAGTGCTCCTGTACCTCAGATGGGAGCTAGAGCTCCATAGTTCAGAAGTGTAATTAGTTAATCCCTCTGCTTCAGCCCCCCAGTGCATTTACTGACAGATATTCTGACTTGTCTTTAAGACCTCCAATTTCAGAGGTTCAGCAGTCTAGCCAGCATATTCTGCTGTTCACATCCTTTCCTTTAAAAAACTTTTGTGCTGTCCAATTTGAGTTAACCTTGATGCAATATAGTCTTGTTGCTCTCTTGTTTCTTGTACCAAGGACCTGCATTCTCTCTGCATTTTTTTCATTGTTTAAAGACTCTCTGTAGCTTTTTGTCTTAAGGCTCAGCAAGTCCAATTAATTTTTATTTCCTTCAGTCTTTCACTATTTTGTGGTAGTCTCTATAAAGGTTGTATTGTGTATTTCTTCATAGAATACCAGGTTGGAAGGGACGTCAAGGATCATCTGGTCCAACCTTTCTTGGCAAAAGCGCAGTCTAGACAAGATGACCCAGCACCCTGTCCAGCTGAATCTTAAAAGTGTCCAGTGTTGGGGAATCCATCAGTTCCTTGGGGAGATTATTCCAATGGCTGATTGCTCTCATTGTGAAAAATTTTCCTCTTATGTCCAATCAGAATCTTCTCAGGAGTAACTTGGTGCCCATTACCCCTCATCTTTTTCACGCAACTCCTTGTAAAAAAGGAGTCTCCATCTTCTCTGTAGCCACCCTTGAAATACTGGGACATGGTTATAAGGTCTCCCCTAAGCCTTTTCTTTTCAAGGCTGAACAAACCCCATTCTTTCAGCCTTCCCTCATGTGACAGGCTTTCCCAGACCCTTGATCATCTTTGTAGCCCTTCTCTGGGTGCTCTCCAGCCTGTCCACATCTTTTTTTGTATAGCAGGGACCAGAACTGAACACAGTATTCCAGGTGGGGCCTGATAAGCGCTGAGTAGAGTGGGATAATGACTTCTTTATTTCTGCTTGTGATGCCCTTGTTGATGCCTCCCAGTATCCTGTTGGCTTTCTTTGCCGCTGCATCACAGTCTTCACTCATGTGAGTGTCTTGTCCACCAGGACCCCCAGGTCCCTTTCCAGAGCTGCTCTCCAACCAGGTATATCCCAGCCTGTGCTGCACTCCTGGATTATGTTTCCCCAGTTCCCTTACACTTGTCCTTGTTGAACTTCATAAGGTTCTTGTTAGCCCACTCTTACAGCATGTCCAGGTCTTCCTGCCTGGTGGCTCTTCCTTCCAAAGTGTCCACTTTCCCGCTCAGTTTGGTATCATCAGCAAACTTTACCAGGGTACCCCTGATTCCATCATCCAGATCACTTATGAAGATACTGAACAGTGTATCTGAACAGTGAACAGCCCAATATCTATCCCTGGTGGACAACACTTGTGACAGTTTTGCCAGTATAAAAAAGCTATTTATCACCACCCTCTGCGTGTGGCCTGTCAGCCAGTTCCCCACCCACCGCACAGACCGCTTGTCTAGACCGTAATAGATCAGCTTCTCTAGGAGGAGTCTTGGGGAACTGTATCAAAAGCCTTGGAGAAATCCAGGTAGACAATGTCCACCGCTCAGCCCACATCACCTGAGAAGGTTACTTTGTCGTAGAAGGCGATTAGGTTTGTCAGGCACAATTTGCCCTTGGTGAATCCGTGCTGACTTTTCCCAGTTAGGTGCTTCATTTGACTTGTGATAACCCCTGGGAAGATTTGTTCCATAACTTTCCCAAGGATTGAAGTAAGACTGACGGGCCTGCAATTTCCTGGATCCTCCTTTAAGCCCTTCTTGTAGATGTAGGACATCCCTGACCTCCATGACCTCTCAAATATTATAGAGTGGCCTCGCAACGATGTCAGCCAGCTCTCTTAACACCCTTGGGTGGATAACATGAGGGCCCATGGATTTGTAGGGGTAAAGCTCCTGTAATAGTTCACATACCAACTCTTCCTTCACTTATGGTGGGTCTGTGTTTGAGACGACCTGGATTTTTGTTCCCAAGGCCTGGGGCACAACAGTGTTGGTAAAGACAGAGGTGAAGAAAATGATGAGAGTGTCTGCCTTTTCAGTGACTAATTCATCTCTTCTGTTAAATGGTGGGCCAATATTTTCTTTCTGTTTCTGCTTCTTGTTTACATAACAGAATAACCCTACTTGTTGTAGGTTGTGACATCTTTGGCCAATTTTAATATGAGCTTTGCTTTTCTAACTTTTCTTGAAGTTGCATGTTCAGAATTGGGTACAGTATTCTGGCTAATGTGTTTCTTGTGGTCTGTCTCTACAGTTTTTGTGCCTTTACTTTAAATTGTGCTAATTGGATGTGCATGAGTTCTCCCTAATACCTCATTTCTTTGCCAGGTTTTTGATTTTTAAAGTTTGTTTTATACAGAATGGTGACTGAGAGGAATTATTCCATCTTACGTTTAAATATCTTGCTCTCATATAGCTTGAAAAGCATTATAATTTCATACATTATGAAAAATAAATAAATTTTTATAGACTTCTACCCTCTGAGTTGCAATTTGTATTTACTAGGAGGAATGTTATTCAGCAAGAGGCTAACACTTCTGAAATAAATATACGTTTGCTTTTATTCTTTTTTGTGGAGATTACCTATAGAGAACTGAACCTTTCTTACTGTGAGGCAACATGGGCCGCCTTCTGTCAGTGCAAACAGCTCCTCCGGAAGATTCCTGACTTGCAGAAGAATGCATTAATTCTGTATGATCAACTCAAGAAACATTGTAGAGAAATGGGACACACTTATGAAGATCAAGATGAATTAGCTCGACTTGTATCAAAAGATATGTCCATTGAGAATGTTTGGCAATCTCTTGAATTTTTGAAAGATCAGAAGGTAGTGATTAGGGAGAAAAAACGAGTGTTTCTGCCTCATCTTTACAAATCTGAAAAAGACATTGCAATGTATGTAGGTGGCCTTCTGTCAGACTGCTCATGGAAACTGGATGTTGATGTGAGAAAGATACTTAATGCTTTTGAGACACCAAGAGAAATGGTAGATAACAAAATGAATGTTACCCAGGCTTGTGAAATGGAACATCTGAAGAAAAATAATCCAGACAGTCATAACTGTGAAAATCACTTTCCTGAAAACAAAGTGGGGTCTACGTCTGGTACCCAGAGTAAAGCAGAGGTAGACTTAGATCAAGTGACTGCTATGGAAAAGATTTGTTCTAATCCTGTCACAATCATAAGTGGAAAAGGAGGCTGTGGGAAGAGTACAATAGTTAGCTGCCTTTTTCGTCACTTAAAGCAGATTGAAAAAGAAGTGGAAGCTGCTTCTAAGGACTTTGAAGAAGACCTGGATGCATCTGAGGAATGGAATACCTTTGATCATCATTGGGAATCGGAGAATATGTACACAAAAAAACTTGTGAATGTACTATTTACTGCACCTACAGGGAGGGCGGCAAGCCTTTTAAGTGAAAAAACTAAGCTTCCTGCATATACACTGCATCAGGTAAGGAATTTTTTTTTTTTTTGAAGTTGTGTTCTGAAAGACCTTTTGGCACTGTCCATTTTTTTTTGGGGAAAAAAGCTCATTAATGGACTTTCCTTATGAGATCTGTAGCTATTAATGATAATGCATAGGTACAGCTTGTCAGCATTATAAATCAATCATTTGAAATACATAATTTGCTTTAACTTTGGGGCTTTTTTCTACTTAAATCTCAAATTTATGCTTTTCTAGGACATTGGGTGCCTTTTGTTTCTTAGTTGTTACCTTTTGAGAAAGAGAGAAATGCTTTCTAAATGGCAGAGCTCTTTTGTAGTGTCCTGTTGCCTAGTCATCATACGGATACCTGCACGAAGAGATTGATAGCTTGGGGTTGAATAGTGAGATAAATTTCATTCACTTGGTGTTTTCTTAATGACTATTAAATATTGTGCAATTTTTTTAGGAAAAAGTAGAAAGCAAACTCTTTGTTAAAAAGCCTGTTGTCCTAGGTAGTGGAAGGTGCCAAGAAGACTTGGAGGTGTGCAATAACCTGTATAAATAAAAATTATAATGACATAAAAAGTACTGTGGACTTATTTTATCTCTCAGGACTGGATAGCTGCCTGTTCCCCTTCCCCATGCATTGGGGCTTTATTAATGTCAGCAAGTTGTTGTAGGAGGTGTTCTGTTACTGAGCAACCTAATGACTGACCTTATATCCTTTAGACTCCCTGCCGACAAAAAAAAAGGATGCATTTCTGCATTTTAATGTAAATAAGTGTTGATAGTCTCAACTAGAAATGTATTCACCTAGGAGGAAAATAAGACTGGACAGTTAAGTTTTCTGAGTCTTTATAGATTTAAGTTCAGGATTTCAGATAATAGCTTTAAATACAACATTAGAAGATACCACACACTCTGGCTACTTTTGTAAGACAGTTGTTTACAGTTGGTCAATGTCAGAGCTTGATTTATTTTGATTTTTTTCCTAGATCATCTATAGTTTTAAATCATGGAGGCAGAGTGAACAAGCACAGCCATGGAGGTTTTCTTCTGTGACAATTCTTGTTGTGGATGAAGGAAGTTTGGTGTCTGTACACATTCTTAGTTTAGTTTTAAAACTCTTGTGTGAGCATGCTCAGCTTGCCAAACTTATTATTCTAGGTAAGTGAAACAGCAAATTTAGCATTATACAATATTTAATAATATGCAGCGCATATTATTAAATATTGTATAATGCTAAATTTATAATTTATTATGCTATAATATATATAATATACAGCGTATATATATTATTATATATAATAATGTCAGAGCTGCCACTGGTCTCATTCAGTCTCTTAAAAACCCCAGAATGTTACATTATTCTGTACTTGGATATTTCTGCTTATTCATAGGTTCCATCTCATCTGTCAATATGAAAGCATCATTATCTCCATTCTCTGTTTAGCACTGTTTTGTCTCATTCTGAAAGTATTATGACTTCCATGTGGTTGCTTATTACTTCTTGCAACTGAAAGACTTGTCTGTTTTTTCTTAAATTTAAAGAAGCTAGCGTTAGCATATTAATCACATGTTAGAATGGAGATTTCGTGTCGTTCTTAATGCTAGGATCATCTTGTTTTAAATCAGAAAGGAAAACAAGTGTAAAAGCAATGTTTTCTCCTTTCTCAGAGGTTTGCTTTTTGACATGCCATTTATGGTGTTTGTTTTTAAATATGTAACTTTCAAAATGTGTTTGAATAAGATGTGATTGCTGTCAGTGGTCATCATGCAGAGTGATTTGCATGTGCTAGTAAAACATTACTGAGCAAGGAATATGAAAAATTTAAACAAGACTACAGCCTGATTCCCCAAACAAAGTTTCTTAGATTCTTGAAAGTTTTATTTCACGTGAATTATATTGAGGAAGCATTTTAGTATGTAGAGGGTTGAGTGTTTATTAATTCCAGTGTTTTTTTGAGACAGTTTTTAACAGATGGTCTGTTACTGCTTCTCACAAATACTAATTTGCATTCTGTTTAGGTGATACTAGACAGCTGCCAAGCATAGACCCAGGAAACATGTTAGCTGATATCTTTGAGGGTCTAAAATCAAGAGGCTTTTCTGTGGAACTGCAAACCAATCACAGAGCTGAGTCGCAACTAATTGTAGATAATGCATCAAGGTAGGATTTCCTTACATATGTAAGAAGCATTCTTGTAGTAGGCCTGGTCCTTTACCTGCAAATAGTAGTGCATCCATGTTTGCCTGTAGTACTGCTTCTGTTAGTTTCTTATTCAAAATCAGTTAACAGTTTTGTTTTTTTTTTTAAAAAAACCCACAAACCAATGCCCCAAACAACATCAAACTGCATTTTTTTCCAGGAGTATGTGTATTGGCCAAAAAAAAAAAGTGTGTGCTAGAATGCTCTTGAATTTTATAGGACGTATTTCACTATCAAATACTCTGTGTTGCTTTCAAATGAGTTGTGCATGCACAAATCACTTTGTCTTCTGAAAATACTAACAATTCCTTCTCTAAAAAAGTTTAAAGACCTTGCTGGTAAGTGTGACAACAGCTAAAACAAGCTGAATTACATCGAGAGTTTAGATGACAAGGGCCATTAAATCATAGTTCTTTTTATTTTTTGCTGTATTAATACCTAGAACCCCTGCATGTTTCCAGCATTTGCATTAATTTTGGTCCTGTTTGCTGTCAGTGCATGACTTATTTTTTAAACCTCAAACAACAAAATCTAGGTCCGAGTGCCCAAGACCTTTTGATGTGGATTGAAATTAGAGAATATTCTGAACATTTGCAAGATGTTCAGAACTTCTAAGTGTTTTACAAACACTCTCACTTTTTTCCCCCATATCACTTCAGTGTTATCCAGTCTGCTCCCATGAGAACTGAATGGGTAATAAGTGTCTACTGGAGTGTTGAAAGTTTTAGAGAATAAATTACCATTGTCTCAAGTGTGAAATCAAGTTACGCTCAGAAGAAAGAGCTTTTGGTATCTGTAGTATAGATGACTAAAAACTTACAAATGGCAAACTTCAGGCTGATGCAGATGATGGTACACTTGAATCCTTTAACTGGAAATAATTTTTCTTTTCTGTTTTCCTTCCACTGCTCTGGTCAAGAATCTCTTACAGGAAGTTTCCTGAATTTGATGAGGTGCTGAAAGTTTCTGGTTGGAATGAGGAAATGACAATGCCAAGCTCAGAGAAGAAATTTATTCTGATTGCTTTGCCTGCTGGTGGGAGTTGTGGTGGTATGTGTGTCCAGTCAGTTTGTGATCTTGACTTTCCCTTTGGTAAAGCATAGACTATTTGGCTGGTAGTAACATTTTGGGAAGATTTTAGTCTGGTTTTGTTTGTGGTATAGATTTAAATGCTAGATTCATAGTTTACCTTTAGCCTTCTGTAAGTGCACACAGCAGACCCACAAGTGCAAAGGACACGCTGTAGAGCTCCAGCTCATCAGTTACATTTTGAAATGGGGGTGATACAGCTTCCACCAGTGTAATCAAATACTTTTTATATTATAGCTGGAGCTGTCAAACCTTAAAAGATTAAATTTTTCAAATGTGAATCATTTGAGTAAACAGCACTGTATCAGAATGGTGTGTTGCATGGGACTGTGCTCCCAACTCTAGAATCAAGTTGGAAAAATGGAAGCAGAGGAGACACCAGTATTTCTTTTAAAAATGTTTTGGGGTCAGGGTTAGGGCTATTGTTTCTGCTTTTTTGACCTTTATTGGATAAGTGGATTGAGTGGCCTCTACTTTATATGCATCAAAAAGCTTCAGGGGGGGAATGTGGAAAAAAAATTAGTGTGAATATTATCACCTTACCTTACTATCGTAACTTAGCAAACAGAATACTGAAAAAGGGTTTCTTCTGTGAAATCTAAACGTGTAGGTCTGTGGCTTAAAAACCTCTTTAATGTGCTCTATCAGATCTTTATTTTCCATGAAATGCAATTGTTTAATACAGAGAAATAAGAATTTCCATATCACTCTTGTCTCTCAGTTTTTAACAGTGGGATAACTGCATGATGCTTTTTGGCAGAATATATATCGGTGTTTTGTGGTGTGTTTTTTTTTGGGGGGGGAGTGTGTTTTTGGTTTTTTTTCTTGTTTAAAACAAGTTTAAATGTCACTGAAGCAAGAGCAATTTCATATTGAATTGTGTTTTTCTTTCTTAAATTGTTTGTTCTGCATATTCAGTGCCTTACTTTTTTAATGTTTTCCGAACCAGATTTGCAAACTGCAATAAAGACTTTGCTTAAAAAAGGACCAGGACTACAGGATGCCAAACAATCGCAGTTCATTGCTTTCAGAAGGTAATAGAGCATGCAGGCAGACATTGAAAAAATCCTTGCTAGCAGACACAATCTAAAAATAGCTGAATGTGTTGAGTTCGAGAGACTGGTGTCAATATCATAAAATTACTAGAGAGAACAACAGGCCAGGTTTTTTTTTCCTGTACCTTTTGGTTGCTCCCAGTCTCTCCACAGTGTTTTTCTATAAGCTTGATGTTACTTTGCACCATGATATCTGCCTTTGAGTTCATGTTCATTTGTACTGTTTATGTTAAAGAAACAAAGGATGGACATAGAAGTGGTCAGTTTTTGTAGTAGATTCTCGGAGAGCCTGTGCTTTGGTGTTGGCTAACAGCACAGTGTTCTTCAGAAACAAAAGTTGAGGGCTTGACTGCAGGAGGAACCCTCAAAATACAAAGAAATGTCCGTATTCAAACATATCCCATCGTGGCAGATGTGAATTCCAGGGTGCATGGTGGAGCATATAACCTCCTGTCTGTACATGCTTCTGTCACAGGTGGACAGTGACCAAATGGCAGAAGATACTTGCACTTTCACCATGTGACAAGGGCTAGATTTAGTCATGTAATCTGATGGGCATTAGTGCTCCTGCTGGGCAGAGGTGAATACCTACAATTTGGATATTTGGAAGCACAATACTCGTCATTTAGGAAGGGCTGGGGTGTAGGGCTCTAACGCTTTGAGGAAAGATTGGAAAGGTTAGTAATCACAGATAATATGAACCATCACAGGAGTGTGAGTAGTATGGATAGCCTCATAGAAACACTGAATGGATAAATGTAATGTCCATTAGTAGCAATAGTCCATAAACTTAGACTTTTGCACAAAAGTGTACTTAAGAAAAAACTCTTCCACTTTTATTTGTGAAGAATCTTTTCTCAGCAGTTGAGAAACAGCCCCTATCTACAGGCTACTAGTGGGCAAATAAGTGATTTATAAATTTTAGCTAGGTCACCTGTGAGTTATGAATGCTGAGTAGCTCTGAAATCAATTTATTTTTTCCAGTCTACGTTCAGGTAAAATACTGTTATTAATGATTTCCATATAAGATTCTTCTAGAATATACTTATAGGTACTTAATCTACATTTAAAAGTTAAAATTCCAGGTCTTTAAAAAGCAAATACAGCTTCTCACTATTTTTAATATATCCACAGGCAGAAAATAATATATACAGGCTTTAGTGTTTCTTTAGTTTTCTTCTTCATCTTAAAACCAAATTAGCTATGTTAGGTATGCATCATAAACACCCTTGCCTTACTTTTGATGGTGTTTAGACAGAACTGTTCCTATACTGCTCTGTCTCCTAAACTCTGAATCAGTGATTTTTTTTAATTGTTGGTGGAAGATCATCATGCCTAAAATGGGCTTTTTCCATTACTTATAAATTAATGTTAATGTGACATTGCATCTAGTTGTGTATTTTGTACATCATGGTTTTGTTCATGTTCTTGTTTTGTATGATTTAGGCAAGATTGTGATCTAATAAATGAACTTTGTTGCCAACACTATTCAAATCATGTAACCAGGTAAGCCAGAGTTCTGCAATTTTCCTGTGAACAACATCACTTTGTTTTTGAAAGTGTTACAGCCAGGCCAACAAACTAAAATAAGACTGTAGAAGTTTTAATGTTTCATCTAGATCTGATTATTTATGTTAGCAATCATTTATTTAATAAACTTCCTTTGGGTGTTCTAATCTCAACCTAGACTGGGAATAGAGATAACATAAACTGTTTGCCATTCATTTAAATGAATTATGTGAATTCCAAGATTTTGGGTTACTGCTGAATATTTAAAATTGACATAAAAGCGACTTCCCCTCAAGGTAAATTATTTTTTGCCACTGTATGATTTCTAAATATATTATAAATATTTTTGGAAGCAGGATTTTGGTTCTACTTCATATTACTGTTTTTTACCAAAAGGTTTTACAGAAGTTCAAGAAACATCTTTTAAATGTTAGTTGTCTTAACTATTTTGAACATTATTAAGGTTTTTAGTCTGGTCCAAGTATAGAGGGGAAAGAAAAGGAGTACTAAGAGATGGTAAATGCATACTTTGTAAATATATTTCTCCCTTTTTTCCTCTGACCTAGGGACCATAGAAACCGACGTCTATTTCAAATTGATGACAAGATTTCCTGCACGCGGAATATATACCTCAAGGATCTCTTGCCAGACTCTGGTTTTGGAAAGGATCCTAATCGTCATGAATGCAAAAGTGGAGAGACCAGCCTCACTACAGAGACTGCTGAGGAGGGCAAACGACTATGCAATGGAGATATATTTTTCATAACAGGGGTAAGGCCCTGCTGCAAGCACTTGCACAGAAAACCTCAGTGGTAACTGATTCAGTCCTTGTTGAATCCCCAGAACAAAACAGTTCACACTTCATAATCTTAGTCCATAATAGATACTTGGCTCTTCTGCTAAACTGTCAGTGAAAGGCAAGAAAGAAGCAGACTCACAATAGAGAATTAAAAGAAATGTATCTCTGGGCATTTTTGTTAAAATGTGTTTCGGTTGGTCTGCTCATGTCTAGTGTAAATACATCTGTAAATACTCAAACGTATCATAATTGAAACAAATAAGACGACATTTCTACCTCTATCCAAAACATTAAGTAAAGAATAAAGCTAATGTTACAGCTTGAGCTCTCCCCTGGCAGAAGACTAAGCTGACCAAAAAATACAGCACCCAAAAAACTCTGCATTTTTCTGCAGGGTTCAGTGAGTTGATTTGGCTCAGCAGACGGTGCAATGAAATTATTGGTATTTGTGCATGGGAAAGGGAAACCATAAAGGGTTGGCTCTTCTCTGTGTGGCAACAAATTGTTAAGCGATCTCACTGGTACGTTTCACTGTACCCTAGGATAATCTGTTTTCTGAGGGTTAAAACTGCCTTTCTCAGCATTTTTCTTACTAACCAGAAGGAGTTAGGGTAGGCCCTGTACAGTGAAACTATTTTCCTTGAAGGTGGTCAGTGAAAGACAGCAGTCTTTTGGGTCTAGGGTCTTCTTAAACCACTTAACTTGGCTGACATTACAGCTATTGTAATTTCAGGGAAAGCTATAATGTGGATACGCACAGATGTATGGACATTGATCAAACTGCTGATACAAACACTGCCGAGTGTTCTTGTGCTATTTTTTTTTTAGGATGTAGAAATTGATAAGCAGCGCTTACTGACCATCAGCAGCACATACGGCTCCACTTTCACTGTGAAATACAAGGCATTGAAAAAGCTGTGTCACATAAAACATGCATGGGCCAGAACGATTCACACATTTCAGGTAAAAAAAACCCCAACAGATGAGCTGATAAAATTCTCTCATGGTTTCATCTTGCCTAATGCATGGTATTTTCATGTGAAAGAGTAAGATGCTCGCCTGAAAGTAAAATTCCTTGAATGCAGGCTAGAAAATACTTGAGTGTCCCAGGTTGTCTCCAACTTCCTTGTTCTTATAAGCTATCTTTTTTTAAAAAAACCAACAACCCAACACCTATTTACTGATCTTAATTTGATAAAGTGTTCTTAAACATGTTTCAGGGTTCTGAGGAAAAAACTGTTGTCTACGTGGTTGGTACTCCTGGCCGTCAGCACTGGCAGCATGTGTACACAGCTGTGACCAGAGGACGCTGCCGTGTCTACGTTATAGCTGAAGAGCTGCACCTCAGGAGAGCAGTCACTAACAAGAATCTGCCCAGAAAAACTCGCTTACAGAGATTTTTGAGAGAGGCAATTGCAGAAACAAGCAACTGTCCCAAACAAACTTCCTCTCCTCTGACAAAGAGCTGGCGAAGTCATGAGCTTGAGACTCAGCCTGTTTCTGTAACAAAAGGTGCTCCTGACCCATCTGAACCTCCAGCTGACTCGATTAAACACGAAGGGTCAGCAGTTTGCAATGAAGACGAGCCATTGGGCAGTCTGCAGCAAAATCTATGTAAAAGACAAGCTTCTGCTGAGAATTCTGAGGATGCCCTGAAAGTACCCCCTGTAAGTATCTCCTTACTGAGAAAGCTTAAAACTTTTGCAAGTCAGCTGGGTACTGTTATGATTGTTTTGTTTATTTAATAATTTTCAAGATGACCAGTAATTGGTCAAGCAGTCAAGGTTTGGCAGGTGTTCTCCCAGAGTAATATATGACTCCTACGGAAAAATAAATTATGATGTCAATAGCAGTAAATTTACACATCTCGTTACTCATTGCAGTGACCTGTTGGCTAGCTTAGCCTGTATTAGTTTTTTTCTAATACAGAAGTCAGTTTTAGGAGCTGACCTGCTGTGGAAGATTAATGTAAAATTTAATAATTGCAGTTGATTTTTATACAGACAAACACATTTAACGGGTGCTTTTTGCATTATATCTGAGTTCTGTCATGAGGAAAGAGCTTTTTTGGAAGATGCTACTGTATTTTAGTTCTGGTTCAAACTGATAACATTTTTGTTTTGTTTTGCAGACAACAGTGCAAGATTCCCCACTTGGGTGTACCAGACTTAAGAATCTAACTTTGGGACAACCAACTCCTAGGAAGCTTTTCAAAAGCTAACAAACTACCTGTCCTCACTCCGTATGCAGATGCTTTTCAAAGGCTTTCCTGTATTTGCACATTCTATGAAGAACAGCTTGTTTTGAACTGAGCCTTTGGTACTTTCAGCAATCTGGTTTTAGTAGGAGATTCCTTGCTGTGTCAGTCATCAAAAAGCACATCATTCTTTTGTTTTGGTGAAGAATGAACTCTCAGGTCTTACATGATCCGTATGTTTAGGTTTAAAGACTGTAGCCATCCATACCAAGATTTATCCATCTCCTTATGCTATGGAATTGATGAGAAGCCATTGCTGATGTGGCAGAATTATGGGCATGAAGCTTTGATGGGTTATGGATTTTAATTTTGTTACAAATAGAACAAGGATGTTGTAATCAATGACATAGAGAGTTTTTCCCACTTTGTACTTGAAAGAGATGTAGAACTTGTTAGTGCTGCTTTAGCTAATGGTTATATGCTGGTAATGATCTTGGTAAGAAAGCAAAGCATAATTCTAAGAGTTCAAATAACATTCCACTTTCAACCTTTTTTTGTGTATTATGTGACTTGCTGCATTGTAATTTTTGAGATAAGCTGAATGTTTAATCAAACATCAGATATACTGCACTAAAATTTAGACAGCTTGCTTTTAACTTTTTTTTTTTTTTTTTTACACATACAGCAGGAAAAAGTGTACCAAATATAAACATTGTGTATTTTGCTAAAACTGTGGAAAAAAACCCAAAGTAGTAAGATGCTGTCTCAATTTTAATGTCTTTAAATCACTGTTTATTTCAATTTATACAGTTTTTCCATACAAATATTTGCAACAGTTTGAATTTCAAAAAACATAACATAGACGATAAATATCATGCTATTAAAGTATTAAATTTGTACAAAAATACTTTACAGTTTAATACTTATTTTGTTACAAATAAAAATACATATTTAAGTGACTCATGAACTTTTTTTTTTTTTAACATGATTCAGCATTGAATGTCATTCTGATCTTTTCTGGCAGTGCTGAAATAGAAATCAGAGCTACATGTGTGTGCAGGGGCAGGTGAGCTTGTTCATGTATCGGAAACAGCAACAGGGATACAGTTCAACAGTTTAAATTGACCAGAAACAACTCAGTAAGGTGATTGCTTAGATATGGAGACTCTACAAATGTACAAATCCAGTATCTTTATATTCACCAATAACAGGAATTACCAATAACAACTTGAATACTGGAATAAACCGAATCAGCTGCTGGTGAGCATATAAAGCAACTGGCAGTATTTTATTGCTTGGGGGGGGAGAGGGGAGAGGAAAGAATTTGCGTGATGTGTTTGTAAAATATATTTACAATTTGAAATTCTAAAAACATGTTACAGAGGGTAACGTTTATCATAAAGAAGGCTGAAAACAAAGCATATTAAATGGGACTTTTGTCCCTTCAAGAAATTGGTTACATACAGGTTTATGGATCATTAAAGAGCTTTTGTATCAATCTTCCACTGACATAGTTTAAAAAAAGTCATTTTCTTTAAAAACCTTTCTAATTTGTCTGAGCTCATTTCAGTTTTACTCATCAGTAATCCTCCTTCAGAGGTTTCATCCCACTAAAAAAGTCTCTGCTTAAAAATCCCCACAGGTTGCAAGACACACCAATAAATACTTCATTGCATAGGGAATAACGTATGTTCTCACAGAATTTACCAAAGCGGGGGAGTAATATTCACTGTGTACTGCGGCTTCCTACAAGCATTTTGTTAAAACATCTAAACTGTGCTTTGTCTGAAGAGTGTACTTTTATTGCCAGCAGAGCAAAGGTCCCCAAAATCACAGCTGTAGCCATTAAACCAGAAACTCTGGTGCAGCATATTGCTCTTCCTTGTCCACCAGACAGCACCTTTCTGATAAAATGTTTTTGAAAACCATGTAACTTGGACACTACTGTCAGCAGAGGTTAACTCTGTGCTTTTCCCTCAAACAGGAGCTGCTGCTGCTGAAGGGAGAGGAACGTTTAAATAATGTTTAAAACATCTCCCCAGTTTCTTATTTGGGGGGAAAAAAGGCCCTTACCATTTTTGTACTGTTGCTAATGATAGATTGTTTAGAAAGGAATGAGTTGACTTAAAGGATTAAACTTTTTCCAAAGGAACCATGAATTAATAGAAGCCTTGAGACAGACAGACTGACTTCCTGTGCTTTTTAGTGCTATATAGCATCTGAGCCTCAATCTCAGAGAAATCTTAAAGGGATTTAGCACCATAATTATCGTTTGTTATCAAATGTCCCACTAAAATGATTTTCTGCTATAATGTATTTGTAGGATCCCGTGTCTCTGTATTAACATTAGCGTGTCCACTCTGTTGAAAGAAGGCATTATTCTGATCACTCCACTCCCCACTCACTGAAGTCTGTTGTTCTGAGCTTCCTTTCTGAGATGCCAGTGGGTTTCTGCTAATCACCAGTTCCAGCTTATTGCCAGATTCTGCAATGAGGGGCACAACTAGACAGCAGTCGAAATCTCTGGTGCGAACGTGGTTTACCTGAACGATTAGAAGATTGATTTGTGTTACCATTTTAGGAAAAAGAAATGAGATCACCAGAGAAACAGATATAAATATTCCATGTGGAGAACCATCTATACAAGACTATTTAACCATGGTGCCCATTCTGAAGATACCAGTTAAGTTTTCTACTTCCTTCATCAGAATGTAGCTAAAGAGGGCATATTTACACTGGTGACAGGTGTTGGCAGCTGTCACAACGCCCACTCCACAAATGACATTTATCAGCACATAGTTTTTCTGTCCTTCATGGGGTTTATTAATTTAAATGCAACAGATCACATCTAAAATTTCAATTCAGTTCAGGTCTTCTCTAGTTTTAAATAATACATAATTTTTTTTATTGGGCTAGTTGACAAAAATTTAGCTTTTCCACCATGGTCCTTGGCACTGTGGGGAGTGTGGAGCTCAGTGAGTATGACATTATTACAGCTGCGTCAATCAACAACTTGCATTAAGCACAGAAACAATTCATGTCTATATCAAGAACAGCAAAAATTACAAATCTGTCTGGAAACGCCTTGGGAAATTCCAACTTTCTAGTGAGCATTTGTATGTCTCCTTTGAAGTTCTGAAATATGTAACATTCTGAAAGAATTTGTTTCTTCAAATATGACTTTACAAAAAAAAATCTAGCCTTCCTGCCACTGCATAAAAGCCCAAGTCACCATGAAGTGCCGCCTTTTCTTACTGAGGATCTAAGTGTTTTACACACCCTGTGGCGCAGAGCAATTATGATCATTTGTCCTTCTTCCTATCCCCCTACACACATCCTTTCCCAGCAGAAGTACAAAAGAATGGTACTGCTCATAATTTAAACTATAATAAGCAACATAGATAAGAAGGTTGTTCTAAATAAGTGATGAAAATGGTTCGTGCAGTTTTCTACAAGCACCTCTAGGTACACAGCTACCTAAACATCCTGCAGTGTGTTTACAAAGTAATCTGTACGACATGTCTGTTCACGCTAAACCTGTGTGGTGCCAGAAACATTACCTGTAGAAGTCTGTCATATGGTTTTAAACCTCCCAGATCGCCAGGGCCAGCTGGTCGAATATTTTTAACATACACGCCTTTTTCCAATAAACCATCTGAGACACTGAACCCAAAGTCTTCTCCATCAGAGTCCTTGTACAAAGTTACCTGTGGGGTTGATGTGACATGATGAGAAAGAAAAAAAACCATTTTTTCCACATTTCTACAAGTACTAGGCAGGCTTTCTTCCTAGTGTGTTTTAGTTTGGGTTGCCCTCTCCATTAGATCACTTACCTAATAGGTACTTACAGTATTATATAGGAGTTGGCCCCATTTTGACATTATAGTAATAGTCTGCCTTATTCTTCAGTAATAAACAGCCCTTTTAACTGCTGCTTGTCAGCTGGAAATTTGTGCTTTTTTTTTTTTTTTGTGGTGTGATTTTTTTTTGAGCCTTAGTTTTTTGCTACCCTGTTTTCTAGTTGCCAGGATCTGTGTACAAGATTAAGTTTAGTTTTATTCCAGGGGTTAAGACCTGGCCTCAGCCAAACAACTGATGTCCTGTCTGCCAAAACTTCCCTAAGGCATAAGCGCCACCAGCACCCTAGCCAGCCTGGTTTTGGCCAGGCAGTTGATCCAGCCTGTTAAGGCCTCACCTCAAACGTGCTCAGTATAAGAGTTATAATGCAATCTTTTAAGGAAGTCTGAATAAGGCTCCTTCAGAAAGAGCTTGGAGGCAGTGTTCTTACAGTTACATAGACAACAGATGGTCATTCAAAAGCAGGAAATAGAAGTTGTTAATAAAACTGTTAGAAGGTTTTCTGGGTGTTCAGAGAACAAGCCCTTGCAGGTAGTTTTGTGAATTCAGTTACTTGATAGAAAAGGATTCAGAGATTTCTTTGTAGGTACGTGGTACACGTAGGTTTTTATTTCTGTGAGGTTTTTTTTTCCTTTCTTGTTTCTCTCTCACATCAGGGGTGCAGACTTATGCAAGTAAACTGTGTGAATGAATGGTGTGACAACTGACTGACACTGATACTGGCACAAAATGTGTGTGCAGACGCACTCACACAGGCAAAAATTGTGCTTTTACTGTTATGGCTAATGTCACTTCAGGTTCAAATTACTGGTTCAAAACATACCTTGGCTGATAAAATGGCAACATTAAGAGTGCTCTGTAATTTTTTAATGGCTTGGTACCAGTAATGCTCCATGTGCTGAATCCTTGTGTGTGCCAGCCACCGAATTTCCGTCTGGTGTTTCTGAATTACAGAATCATTCAAATCGGAGGGGACTTTGGGAAGTCTCTAGTCCAACCTCTTGCTCAAGGCAGGGCCAAGACTGACTTCAGATCAGGCTGCTGGGGACCTGGTCAGTATTTCATAGAAGAATCCCAAGGCAGAGCAGTGCTGGGGCACCATGCTGGTTGGTGCTGCCTTCAGCCAGCTTCTGAAATCTTCCCTTAACTGCTATTGTGAAAAGGTAAGCAAGAACAGACAAGGTTGTCTCAAAACAGGACTGAAGAATTTGGTCAGATAAGCAAAGAGCACAGATAGTTGGGTGGGGTTTTTTTCCTGCTCTCAGCAGTTGAATTTACTTGGCTTTAGTGGTTATATCAACAGTGCTTTAACCAGAACGAACAGACTCACTAGTCAGTTTGGCAAGAGCTGAGCTGGCAGAAGACACACCACCAGCTGCTGCAGCATTAGCACCATTTTATCTGTAGATGTGGCCAGTGAATTGCTGGGCTGCTATGAAAACATCTCTTTGTCTCATGCTGTGGTAAGTACAAATACCCCCACACAGTATTTGTCCCTTACTTTGCACCAGTTCCTCCTCTTCTCTCATTTTAATCCCTCTGTCTAGTACAGCAAAAGCAGAAAGCCACACCTAAAGTCCTGTTAGCTAAACTGAAGTCTTTCTCTCTGCCAGTGACTGATTCTCTTATTTGGGTATGAGCTGTCGTTTTAAACTTCCCAGCGGCTACTGTGTTTAAGCTCCTTGTCTTCTTTTCTCCCATCGTCCCCCAAAGTAACTTGTTGCTGAACCTGTCATATTTCCCTCCATCTCAGCATGAAGGAGTCAAAAGGCATTTCAGCTACTGACAAACCTATCTGCAAATTCAAAGTAATTCACCTTAGAATGATTTAAATTTGTATCAACAGCTGCTGTACCAGCAAGACTCTGTGAAACTTCT